CGCGCATCGGAAATTAGTATTATAGATAAGTCATCTCATAGACCGTTCAGGTAGAGAACCCCGCATGTTGTGGTCAGGCCAACACTGAATTGGTCCGTGTACTGCGCGCTAGATAGTTTGTTATTCAGGGCGTGAAGAGGCGGACATGGCTGTCGATTATGGACAGGCCAACGGACTAGCAAGGGCAGTGAGAATGTTTCATTCGCATTTCATGAACGAGGGCTGCCTGGCCACAAAACATTAACAGTTGAAAACGAGAGGGGTGGGACAACGACGGACTACGTCTTTCTAACATTGTTCCTCCTCATATTAGTTTTCCTCCTCTTATTGTTTAGGTCACGAGTTAGTTTCATGATTTACCATCTTTCTGAAGCTATAGTGATTGTTTCCTCTTAACGACTTATCGGATATTTACAAAAACTTGAAACATTTGCCAAGCGTAATCTTTTCGTCAAAACTCCGCTGTTTATTTATTTGATTTATGAATTCGTTTTCTTTGTTCAGTTTACACGCGTAAAAACGTTTAATGATCGTAATCTAAACTATATAAATTTTTCTTAAATACACATACCAATTATATTTTACAAATATATTGAGTAATGAAACAAGGCGCATCTGAAATAAGTATTAATCCAGGTTTTCAAATATTTTATACTATGAAGAGGAAATTTGTAAATAAATCTCGTTCGATAATCGAGATTTTTGCAGAGTTTATAGTAGGATGACGACACAGATTCCTTCATTCCATCAATCCTTTCCTCCTTTCCTCCTGTCCTCCTTTCCTCCTGTCCTCCTTTCCTCCTGTCCTCCTTTCCTCCTGTCCTCCTTTCGTCCTTTCGTCCTTCATCTTTTTATTTATCATATTTTATTTATTTAGATTTCATTTATAGATTCATACATTTTTTCATTTATTTTGAATTTATTTATTGAATCATTTATTTGCTTACGTTGTTGATGAAATTGCGATAAAAGTCAAGTTCCCGTGCGTCACTGTAAAATCCTCGAATGGGAGAAGCTAAAGACGCACGAGAAGCGATCTAGCGGACTGTTATGGAACTATTCCAGCTACTTTCACTTGTAAAGAATGGGTTGAGACCGCGAAAGAAGTGTTCAGTAATGTAAAATACCTAATAAATCGTATGAAAATAGATTTTGTTCTCGTGAACGTCATTAAAATGTAAGATATGTTCATACAAAGTCACCAAGATAATCAAGTAGACAATGAAGGAGGTACCGTAGCTTATCCAGCAACATGTAAATGCACAGAATGTAGAGTAACATCTTTAGAGGAAACAAAAAATGAACGAATGAACTATTATCGTCATGGATTCACATATCAAGAGTCAAAATTACCAATGTGTTCGTGCAAAAAAAAAAAAGTGAAATTAATTTTAAAAAGTATTTTGCTTTCATTTATATATTGCAATTACAGGAACTATTAACATATCAGAACGTTTGGATTTTGTTGTCTCATCAGACTAATAAATATTTTTTAGATCCTATTTAATTTGTGGACACAATAATTAATACGATCAAGATTCTGTCATGCCACATAATTTATTCAAATGAAAGGAAAACAATTATAAAACTCTACAATATTATTTTCATCACAAAATTTACATTAGAACAACGTATACATTACAGGAATCAAACTATGTGACATACGAAGTGAATAATGCTACTCCATTCTTGAATTTTCAGCCAATAACGTGCAAGTATTCGAACCATACAAACCATTTTGAGAGGAATTGTTATTATAAAATTATCAATAAACATCCCCTCATTTGGAATTATAATTATTATCAAGGGGTTAATTTTATAACAGCACATCACAACATATTCCTTCTTCTCCTCCACTTCTTCCATTTTATTTCTTCTTCTGTTGGTATCCTACTTGCGTATCTTACTTGTCTTCATCTTCTCTCTTTTGCTCTTGTACTTTTCTCTTTCTTCCTGTTTTTCTCCCAAGTATGCAAATGTAATTGTCAAATAGTTTTATTATTTATTACCCCTGCTTCGGAAATCCTCAGAAAAAAATGCACAGGACTAGAACTAGTATTTCCTATGCCAAAAACACGTTGTGACGATAAGACGAAACTGATAACAATAAAATGATGAAATTAAATGGTTAAAGCGTTACTGATTGCGTGATGTAAACACTTATGACTGTTTGGTCGAAGATTTGTGTGCTCTGAACTTAAGTAGAAACAATGAGTTGGAGTGCTGCACATGTTCGAATGGTTGCTCAGTATTCGTAGTTGTAAGACCGGTTACCAAGAGCGCCACTCTCCGGATGGACCTGACACACGTGGACTTAGTTCCAGCGATCATCACTGCGAGCGCCATGTCTTTAGCAGCTGCTAGCGCTACCGAGACCGCTTTTGGAACTATGTGCTCAGTAACGTTCTTCTAGGCGGGGTTTTGAACATAACTTACGATTTGCATACAGTTTTTCGATTGATTTCAAATACAGGGATTTTAATTTGCGTATCTACCAGTTTCACTTCATTTAAATTTGCGTATCTACATGTTTCACTTCTGCTAGTGAGGTTCTGTCAGACACAGCCTGTCTTCAAGTTTGGCCTGGCTAGTTAAGTTTGTTTTGAAGGAATTTTCTCATACTTTTCATCTACGAAGATGCAAAAATGTTCGTTTAGTGCACTCATATATGGGTGTTAGAGCATTTAAATCTCTAGTGTATTGTAGAACTAGTTCGAGTTTACAGAATTTGCTTAAAAAAAAGGAGTGAATAGTTGATTTGAAACTTAATGATGAACTTGAAACAAACAGGAAATATCATGATCAAATATTGTGAAAATGGAAAATCTTGTCGAAAGTAACAGCTCATTTTATTCATTTTGTAGAACACAGTAATTACCAACAAGCAAGCCCAAAGAGAATCGAGTCGTCAAGAAAACTTGGCTGGAGAGCATCGTCCACAAGTCTACACAGAGGAACCTGCACTTCCTACTCTTTAGACCCTGGGTGAAGTTGATTAAAGCTCCTTCCAAGCTACTGTATTAAAGCATATTAAAATTAAATATGTAAGAAACTAAGGGGTTCAGTTAATGTTCAGAGGAAAAAATCTGTACATTGTAGTTAAAAATTGTAGACATAACTTCAGGGGGTGATGTGGCATAACGTAATGTATGCATTGCATTCTGTTATTCTAATATATTATATTGCCTGTAACAGGGATTTAAATTTGTGTAGTAGCCAGTGCCCTCCTCTCCGCGCACCCCCCGCAGTGGAATATCAAGAAAACTTGCGCGTGTAGTAAATTTCACTCAGGAGAGTGGAGGGTATGGCGATTTCATCTGAAGATTAAGCTGATAAATCGCACTTGCTAATAAAATGGAGATGACAAAAATTGAAATGAAAGTACATTGGATTTCGGGTCAATGACCCTCACCTGGATCAGGTCTTCGTCTCGTTTCCCTGATTCTTTTACCGAATGCGAAGATCACCCCTTGTTCTGCTCCAAACATAAATGTAATTTCACTACCTGTGCACATTTCAGAGAGTTCAGAAGGAAATAGTTATTTAATTAACGTTCTCCATGTTCTCGTGCCAGGAAGTCGATTCCTGCACGAATGACGCTCTGAGGGATAATAACCCAAATATATAGCCGCTTTACCCTGTTTTTCGTTAACTCTGGCCAAAACGCTCGTTTCCATCTGTATACAGCATTCAACTTGCACATGGGTTAGGTCAGGGATTCATGTATTTAAGAAAACCTGCACAGAATACACTTCTTTCCCTTAGAACGTTACACATATTACTCGCGCAAGTTTTCTTGATACACGAACGCCCTAGTCCTCAACCAGCGCTGAATAGCGCGGCACGTTGAAATACTTAGGTTCGACACGGAACCGCACGTACCAATTTAAAATGCTGGCAACAACCACCTCGTACTTTCAAAACAATCGTAGTACTTTCAACACGCTCGTGGCAGGCTTTGGCAAGTTAAGTTCATGGCCGCAGTTGGTACGCTCTTTTAAGCCGTGACGAAGCCAGAGCCCTTCTCTCCCCGCACCCCCCGCAGTGGAACATCAAGAAAACTTTCGCGTGTAGTAGATTTTCACTCAGAGTGGAGGGTATGGCGATCCCATCTGAAGATCAAGCTGATAAATCGCACTTGCAAATAAAATGGAGATGACAAAAATTGAAATGAAGCTTCTTGAAAATCATTCTATAAAATGTTACATGTGAATCTATACTAAAATTTGAATCATTTCCTATTTTTATGATGTTTTAATATTGCAAATTTATCGAGTTATTAAAATAGAGAGAAACAAAACCAGTGCTATCCGATTGCTCTCTAAATATCACTTAAAAATCATTCCCTGAAATGTAACAAGAGAATTTACAGCAAATTTTAAATACTTTTCTCCTTTTTATGATATTATAATATTTCAACAGTTTAGTTGCCAAAATTGAGCAAAACAAAGTTGCTAGGTTTCCCAGTGATACCCGCTTTCCCACTAAATATAGAATATACCTTCAAATTCTTAAATCAAAGAAAAACAACGCTGCGGACAAACTGAAAATGCGGACAGATGAAAAGCAAAGTTCATGGAAAAAATTAAATAGTTTTGTGAATATTTCAAATACATCGATCAGGCAGTTAGCAGGGGGAGCGCTGCGTGCTCTAGTGTGGCGGACTGTTACCACGTTGACTGCCACAATAGTTAAGAACATGACCCTTCTGGCCGAACTCTTTTTATCCGTCTATATGTGAAAGAAGGGACTGTTGATTATTCCCGATGATATGTCTTTGTAATAAATCTTGATTTTGTAATATTTTGTTCGGAGAAACAGTTTTTGATTCTCGCGACCTTTGTACATATCTTTGCGAGAATTGCCCCGTGAATCATGGACTGATTCTCAGAAGCGCGTGTTCTTGTTTTTTTATGTTCACATGTGTAAAAAACAATAGTTGTTCATTATAAATAAATAAAGTACTCATGTCTCAATAATATTCATCTCTTATATTTTATTTAGCATTTTCGGCCTGGGTACTCCTCGCGTATCTTGGAGATGAGCAGCGTGCCCATGCCGGAGCCCGTGCCGCCGCCCAGCGAGTGCGTGAGCTGGAAGCCCTGCGGGCAGTCGAAGCCCTCGGCCTCTCTGCGCACCACGTCCATCACTGCCTCGCTCAGGTCGGCGCCCTCCGTGTAGTGGCCCTTGGCCCAGTTGTTGCCGGCGCCGCTCTGCCCGAACACGAAGTTGTCGGGGCGGAACAGGCGGCCAATGGGGCCCGTCCTCACTGCGTCCATGGTGCCGGGCTCCAGGTCCACGAGGACGGCGCGTGGCACGTACATGCCCTTGGAGCCAACGTTGTAGTACACGTTGATCCTCTCCAGCTCGGTAGCGGCATCGCCGTTGTAGGCTCCCGTAGGATCAATCAAACTCATCAGTAGACATCGGATGTTAAGGTACTAAAAACTAACTTTTTAGATGCCTAAACAGGCACTGAAAGCTTTTTAAATAGGCTCCGAAAAGGCATTAAAAAACGAAAATTGGAGGAGAGAAAATAGGAATATATTTCACTGCACATACATTTAAAATAAGTCGATCCAAAAAATAATATAACATGAGAGAATAGACTGTTAATGAACCATTAGCGAGGGAGAGACTTCGGCATCTTTTCAGAATTGATCTCAGTTAGTACACTTAGACTGATAAAGTACTTCGCGTGGTGCACAGCTCGGACAACTGCGGGCAGAATGAAGACGTACCTCACGCTTGGCAGAGATGGGCTTACTGCGCACTTCCCAGAAGGGCATCTGGCACCGGAAGATGTCCATGTCGGAAGTAAGGATCATGGCCTTGCCCTCTCAGACACGCGTGCTTTGATTACGTCGCGAATCGGGGCTCAGCACTCAACGAAAGGCCCACAGACCACAGTTTTTTTTTAATTTTATTTTATTTATGGAAAGGCATGTGACAAAAGAAATCTGAATCCCCAATGCGGTTGTAAAAAGTCTGTCACCTGCAAACCCAAATAAGAGCTTCAGTCGAAACAAACAATGGAGATTTGTTACTAATTGAAACTTTATGTGATTAGTAGAACTTAAAATGATTTAAACTTGTGTTTGTAACCAAGAATACAAAAAAATGTATATAATTGAAGACAAAATTAAAAAGAAAAATGTATCTAAAAGGTATTTTTGTCACAAAAGACCAAAAAAGGCAAAAAAAGGAATTCCACAGAATGTTTTGTTTTCCATAATTCATATACATATATTAATTTCCCTTTAAATATTTTCATTAGATTAAAATAAGCATTTTCTTAAACATCATATTTCTACCCACAGGTTCTTTTCCAGAACCGGAAATAACGAGGGGAAAACAACAGTATAGGCTAGGCGCAGCCACTTTGCAATAGCATCATCGAAATGCTATTCCTATATCGTGCAATTCATCACCTTTTAAGAAACAAATATCTCAATACAGACTTTAGAAACTTCATGCGTATGGTAGAAGACATTTCCCCATTCAATAGAAATTAAAAGATGCAGAAAGACTTTTTCCGTAAATTAGTACATTATTTTGGTATTCCATTCAAGGCACAATACTGGAAATCCAAATATCCATTTTACAATATTTCCAACTTAGACAAAATTGCATGTTGTATACATAACGTTTTAGGATTCTTCTTCTACACATGATCAGAAATCTGAATTATTAAATCATTTGAACATTTGACTTGCTAAACATAAAAATAGAGGCATTTGTCGTCAGTTACCCAAAGAAATAACCATTTGCGTTATTCTTACCTTAGATCCAATCTAATTTCCGCACTGGCCTGAATATGAACAATTTCTCATCTTCTCAATTTCAAAAAATTTACTTCAAGACCGAATGCACTACCGGTCTGTATGTGCTCTGCGGCAACTGACTGAATGGACTCTGTGGCTGTTGTTTCCTCACTGCAGAGGGGAATTCACCATCGCCACCCCTTCGTCCCCCCCTTCCATTGTGCCCCGGGAAGGGGCATTCCCCCCTTGTTTCTCCTGCCGTCTCCAGCCAGACATCTTTTCCTGCGTGAGTGCCAATGGCTTCTCGTTTGTAATAATGATGGTGCTGGATTCCAATATATGTTCGACTTACAAGTGTTCATTCTCATTCATTTTGCACCCTCCTGTTACTTAATTATCTCTTCTTTTTAGGAATTTGATGAACTTAAAGCAATGGTAACATTTCATTTGATTTAACATATTCGGCCAAGTGTTATAATATTTTTTGCCGTATTTCTGTCACATTCCCCGTCCACTAGAATTAGGTCCAGCTTCTCCTCGTTCGTATACATCATATTTCACTGATTAGTCCTGACTGCATTTCCTTTCTCCCCCGCCCTTCTACCTATTCTACCTACCCTTGTTACGTCACTTCGCGGCATCTCCAGTTTTCCCACTTTACTCGGCCGACGCAACGGAAGGGAATGACCTCGCCGCATATCACCCGGAATTTCTCGATCAGATTACGGAAACCAGCAGTCGGCGTGCGTCCTTAAAACTCTTAATTTCTTGAACATTTTGTTATGTAACATATGACGATTTGCATATTTATGAACTCGTCTCTTCATAAATTGTTATGATGTTTAGTTGTGATGATGCTTGTTATGATGACAATAGGAGCTGGTCGTTGTAGCGCGCATAAATGGCACATTAAAATAATTTTATGAATACCAACGCACGGCAAACTACACATGTGATGTGAGTCATATAGAGCCGAAAACACTGTGTAATAGTATAAAAACACAAGTGTGTAAGTAATTGTCTGAAGACGTTACAGTAAGTGGCGTAACTTCGTGGAGCCATGACGGGCGTGCAGTCTGAAGGTGCGTTTACACCGCGCGAGCGAACAATTCTTCGTCCGTTCGGCCGGAGACGGTCCATCCGAGCAAAGGACGGATCGGACGAGAACGGCTGGCGGACGCGAGCGAACGTTCGCTCGCTAGGTTCGTTCACAAGAGGTGGATGTTGGTGTCGAGCGAACACTTTCGATCGCGGCTTTTGGGATCGGGACGCGTCCCATCATTTGCCTTCAACTAGCGAGCGAGCCGCCTGGCGGCGGGGTTTTCAAGAGGTGAGCCGAACTGTGTGGTGTGTGAATATTGTAGAGAGGCGTGGTAGCATGGGTGTACTGTTTATAAGTAATAGTATATTTATTGTTAGGGATGTGGAATTTATTTAGTTTTAATTTTAATTTATTTCACAGAACATGGAGTGGACTCACTAAGAAACCATAGAATTGACAGAGGCCTATAGGAGCCATATGTGCCTCTGGGATCCACAAGATTCCCATTATAAAATATCAAATACGAAAGGGGATGCATGGTCGAGCGTTGCTTCGACCTTAAGTTCCAAACTGTATGATGTAAAGAAGAAATGGTGTCTTTGTTGGATTCGTTTCGCCGGGAACGACGGAAAGCCAATTTGAATAAATCTGGTTCCGGCGCAAATACTATTTTCAAAAGCAAGTGGTTTGTATACGAAAAAATGCTCTTCTTAAAAAATAATTTTGAAGGCAGAGTGAGCGAGGATACATTAGAAAATGAAAGTACACAAATTTATTTTAATTCCCAAATGCACCGCCACTTTAAAATTATTAATGAAGCTTTGGCCTGAACAAATAGCTATTTTATTCCCGCTTTTGTTGAGAATATTTTATTTTTGTTTTTAATCATATTATACGGTATTCTCACCAATTACCATTTTAATTATTCATAGTGATCATGATTTAAAGAAAAGTATTGAAATGCAATGATTTTATCTAAATTTGTTGAAGTTACAAATCTTTAATTTCACTGCCGTTACTAGAGAATTTTCACCTTATTATAAAAGTTACAGTTTTATCCATTTAGCAGCTGTTTTGAGCAGGATACTTAATGTTTCTTTGTTCATATTAGATCGCTCTTGAAAACAAATTAATTTTCAATTCATTACTATATGTTCTTTATACCTATTATGATTCTTTTTACTTAGACGTTTTTCCACATGATTATTCATGCTTTTATAGACTTTTTGCAGGTATTGAACCTCTTGATTTGGTGCTACAATCCTATGTGAATCTTGCTCAAGTATTTTACTTCATTCCTTTCTGTTTTTCGCTTGTTTCTACCAGTTCCTAATGTCCATTTTAGAAATTCTTCTTTCTCAGTTATTAAATTTTCGGCACTATTTATACAGGCTAACATTGGTTTATCTGGTTGCTTGATGTAGTTCTTTTCATATTTATAAAATTTTCGTATTTGATTCCTCCTTTTCGCAGATTCTATCTCCGGAATTCTATTCTTTTCTTTTTCTTTCTGCGTATTGTTCTTTCTTTCTTTTTTTCGTTGGGCAGTATATTTTTCTTTGCATGCTCTTGTACCAGTATCCACCCATTTATTTGTCATCCTTCTTTTATCTTGTACTGATTTCCTACATTCCTCATCCCACTATCTCTCTTTCTTTTATTTTCAGTTCCAATTGCAAGTTGCCGTTTCTATTATGAAGGATTTTATGTTTTCACACTGTTTATCTATGTCTTTTTCGAATTGAAGTTACTATTTTCATATTAAGGCATGCTCCTAAATTGTTAAATATTTTCAAATAGTGTGGAGTGTTAATGTAAAATTTTTAATCATTAATAATAAATGTAAAAACTGTAGTAAGAATTAAAATCGATCTTTTCAGAACTTAAGGGCAGTCTGTACTGTTTCAAAGTTTAAAAAAAATTAACATAATTAGTCTTCAGATTTTTGGGATGGTTCTAAAAGTTAAGATTTATAGGTAGTTATATCCTGTAAAACGTTTAAAAAATCTCATTCTAGAAGATGAAAATATGTAAATTTAGGTGCTACAATGGCATGTCCTTCTTTGCTTCGGTAATGGTTATGTGAAATTATAATGCCGCAATTTCTGTTCATATCAACATTTCAGCCATCTCTTGTAAAACTAGTTGCGCAATAGATGTAAAAATGAAATCTATTTAATGATAATTCATCAACAAAATTCAACAATCCTAAATTCTGTTCCGTTTAAACAGAAACCGCCAAAGAATGAAAAGTAACTTTGAGAATTTTTAAATGCAACGCCATGTTATGGCATTCCCGTTGTTTTCAACGAATTTTCAAAAAGCAACGTGTTACAAAGAGAATACACATATGTTGATTCGAATATAATTGTAGGGCATTCGAACCTTTCATCATGCCTTTATTTACGATGCGTAATGTGTTTCATATATTTCTTAAAAATAAAGCTTTGGCTTACACGAACACATCCAGTCATTTATTCATCATTCATTCGTCCATTCATTCGTCCATTCATTCGTCCATTCATTCGTCCAGTCATCCGTCCATCCATCCATCTATCCATTCAGTCATTAATTCATTTATTATTGAACGTCAAAAACAGCTGAAACTTTGTGTTGTGCTACGGGGAGAAGTTTATTCTGTACACAGAGCGACTGGTCTTTCTTTAAGGACTTACATGCCGTTTTTGGAGACAAAAGTATGACTAGTTGTTTGTGGCCTGCAGGCTCTCCTGATCTGACTCCGTGCGATTTCTTTTTGTGGGAATCCCTGAAGGATCGCATGAAAGTGACAAAGCCTTACACGTAAGAAGAATGAAGGCAAAATAAACAGGAACATCTCTGTTATACCACAGGACATACTACTTTACCGAGCAACTAGAACTTGTTCAGATGACAGGAATGTATCAGAACCGATGGTGAGCAGTTCCAGCCCCTACTATAACGTGAGTACAATTTAAACACTCCGATTGCCAAACGCCACCTTCCTGCTTCCGCGATTCTACCGCTCGCCCTTTCTCGGTTTCCCCGGTGGTCGTGACCTCTCGCGCCAAGTCCAAATCCCCGCGCGGCCGGCACATTTACAAAATGGGTTTTGGAGGACAAGGGGGATTTCTGTGCAATGCGGAATTATACGTCCGAAACTGTGGGCCTTTCTGATATTTCTAAGCGTTGGGATTAAATGGTTTAGAAAATCAAACAGCCTCTTTAATTTTATCGTGAAATATTATTTTTACTTTTATCTATCAATTCAATTTTTCATATATTTCGGCTACGCTTTTCTGGCTCCTATGCATGAAATGGAGTATTGAAAAAAATCTAATTTCGTAAAATATTACTTGAGAAATTTAATACGAGTTCAATCTCTCTTATTTCCCCGCATGTCGCCATATTTTCTCAGAAATCCCCCTCGTCCTCCCAAAACTCTGCCCCTTCGAAGTGGGTTTTACTTTGAATTATTTTCTCTTTTAAAATAATTATTTACAAAGCGTTTTCGTACGGATTCGGCTACTTTATGCTAATTGTTACTCCATACACGTTTTCTATCATGTACATTACTTAAGCGTGAAATCGATTTTATACTAATAGAATTGTGTTATAGTGAACAGGGAAGAAAAAATCTGAATGTCTCATGACCGGTGAAATCAATAGTATACTAATACAGTGGTGTTATAGTGAACAGGGAAGAAAAAATGTGAATGACCGGAAATCCTTTCAAAAAGCTATAAAAAACTGTGATGTAATTGGAATACCGTATTTATGAATCAGACCGGTCTTCAATTTCTCTTCGCTATTATCTGTAGTAATTCAAAAGTTTCATTATTGTTCATCATTAGTAATAGATATCCTGTCCCTTGCTTCCCGCCTAGACCCACCCCTCACTACATCCGTGGCCTCCATCCTCCCCCTCCCCCACAGTCGCCGCCGCCGCCGCCTGCAGTTGTCTGTCGCCACCCGCCCAGTCGCACAACGCGTGTCGATCAAGGCAACGTCTCGAGGTGCGTTCCAACACCGTGCATTTGCCTACTCTGCGGTGAGTTACGAAATGCCAGAGCTTCTAGTGCTGGTTAAGGTCAGGTTGTGCAGATTTAGTTCATTATAACATTGCTGGAGCCTTCCATAAATACATTTTGTGATTATTCTCTTTATCGATGCCCTATTGTGAAAAATTAGTAAGCATAGCTACTGGGGCTACAACAGCACATACTTTCTCACATTAATTGAAACGATACTGTAATATTATCCTATTACATAATTCTGCAAAAGTGTTTCCAAAAATTATTTCCGCCCAGAGACTAACTCAGGACCATCGAAAGAACTTGTCGTGCGCTTCACCACTCCACCATGTACACACTCTGCGCTACTCAGTTGGGCCGACGCTAAAAATCTACTTGCTTCTCCCATTATTTCTAATAGACGTTTTCATGCATTCAGAGAGTTAAATGAAAATGAGACCCGCGTCATTATTTTAAGCGTTCCCTCTTCTATCAGCGGGGCAAGTTTTTTTTGTTGACATTTTTTATAAATTGCATTAATTTCAAGCAAATAACGCAAAAACGGATAGTTTTGCAGTAGTAATTGTACGAAATTTTTTTAAATAGC